GCATAAGGAGACAGATACTCCCTCTTCTGAAAATGGTCGATTTGCCCACCATACCTATACACCTTCTTAAAATTAGATGGAAACTTCAGAGGAAAAGCCAATGAAAGCAATCCTGGGACATGATCATTATCATTAAACACTTCATTTAAACCTAACACCTTCTTCTCCAATTCCGTTACTGCCCAACTAGCCTTCCAAGACACAAGCTCCAAGTACTCTCCCTCGTCATAAGGCTTGAATGGCTGAACTACACGAAAATTTTCAGGATACTTATACACCCAATGCTTCCTAAAATCCATAGGCAACCCAAAATCCCGTCTAAAGTGTGCAATCTTATCCAGCGGTAGACGCTTATCTACTGCCATCATCAGCATTCTAGTCACATACTGTGCAACCTTATCACTTTGCCTTTCTATAATCTCCTCCTCCTCTTTCACCAATTCCTCAGCCTTTTCTGTCATTCCACACCAAACAACACCCCTTTGGTCTTTGTACAGCTCAAAAAGCTTCGGCGATTTCTGAAGAAAATCGGAAAGTTTGTGGGGCTTGGGAAGATTGACTTGTTTTCGATGCTGGTCAAGATTTTTTAAGGTTATGATTTGTTCGGGTTCTTTTTTGAGGATTTCTAATAAATTCAAGATTTTGGAGATTACTTTGTGCTTTTCTATGACGATTTCTAGGTGGTGGACTCGCTTATTCATGCTGCGGTCTTGGACCCTTTTGCTGGTAGTCATCAACCGAATTTGCGTGCAGAGTGAATTTAAAAGAGAATTCCGCATTGTGCAGATTGGAATCTATTCAAACTGGGATGGGTATGATTTTTGATGAGATAGTATGACAATTCTTCTCACTTTTTATTGAATAAATTCTGTCTTGTTTAAGCCATTGGAAGCCTGGAATCAAGAAATCTGAAGACAATATACCTGTGGGATGCAAACTATTTCTGGTGGTTCCTCCTTACACCTTGGATATTACTCTTTGCTTTTGTAGCTCCTTGTCACATTGCACATGGGTGGATTGCCTTCATTTTCTCTTTGCTCTTAATCAGTGGAATGGCTTTTCTCCTTATAAGTTCGTCGGCGCCCAAGGGTTGTCCAGTCACCGACCTAGGACTCAGAATTCGGAAATTGAAATTGAATTTATGGCATTGGGTTGAAGGGTTACTAGTATCAAAGTGGAGCCAAGTGTTTGTGAAAATGACTAACTGAATAATGGAGAGGGAAAGGCAAATCAGTTTTACATGTGTTACGTTTCGTTTCTGTGAGAATCACACGACTTTGTGCGCTAAGGTGTGTCTAGAATGTTAGGTAGGGACAAGCCGTTCACATAAGAAGCGAGTCATGGGACGAACTGAACGGAGATTTTCTGTCCGAATCACTCGTCGACTTGTCCGATAATTGAGGAAGAAAAAAGGATTTCTTTAGTTAAAAATATGAAACTCGTGAGCTGTCCCCTTTCGGGGCGATGAGGTGCAAGCAAGTCGAGCCGACTCAACTCGTTAAAAATCTATAGGTGTGTCCGTTTGCCTATGCAAGCACCGTCATTTGTCTATGTTTAAAAAATCTACTTTTAAGTAAATTTTATAATAACTCATTCCTTAAAATAAGTAACTATCATTGGAACAATTCAAGATGCATTTTTAGAAATTTCAGACCATGCAAAACTAAAAATAGTTTCAAAACGGTAAACAAAATGCACCCTAATTTTTTGCTTAAGATAATTTACTTTCAATTGAAAAACTTATTTAAAAAATGATGTTTCCCTTACTATCAGAATATTCAGCCTTTGCTTAAAATTTAAAAGACAAAAAGATTGTCTTTTCTCCACATCAGGGACGAATCCAGCACCTGGTCAGTCCCCGCAGGCTGGGGCCGCCCGCACTAGATTGGGAAGGAACAATTTTTTTTGGTTGACAATAGATAAATATTTAGAATATATAGCTGATAATTCATTTTGTTTTCAAACATCTCCCATAGCTCATTTAGTTCTACAATTTTTATTAAAATTATTGGAATATGGAGGGGATTCGAACATGTGACATTTCTTAAGATTATTAACAAATTTACAATTATAAAAATTGATAAATTTGACACTAAAATTAAACAGAATAATATATGTTAAGTTTTAGTGGTGTTAATGCAATTGTAAAAATTCGAACTCGCTCTTCCTTTGAATTATAACATGGCTACAATGTCATTTGGTGAATATTGTTAACTCATATCACAAAATTATGAGTGTTTGGTAGGGATTTTTGGGGGAAGAATTGATTTTTGAATAGTGATATAATGGGAAATGTGTGGTTGAAAAAGAAGAAAACAGTATTGATGTGATGGAAAATATTATTTTATTGAAAAATGTGTGGTTAAAAATGAGAATTGATTTACTGTAGAAAATGAGAATCTTTACCAAACAGGCTCTA